TTTTTTTTTGGGGAAAATAACCCCTTTTTCAGTTTTTTCATTTTTTTAAAGAAAAAAATTCCTTCTTCAATTTAAACATACTTCCTTCATCCTCGTTGTTTTCCTTTTGTTTCCTGCGTTGCATTGCCACCAGTTTTTCTCCTTACGAACTTCATTGTCTTTTATGCCAACTACAAAATTTCCGCCTTGCTTGTTTAGAAATATATGGAACTTAACTGATTTCTTACCATGCAACATCTTCTTTTCAATCACTCAAGTAAAATTACTTTTTTATATCTATGCCCATTCAATATAGTTCCATTGATTTACTTTTCATCTGATTCAAAATTTTTTATACAAGTGGTGTTATTAAAAAAAAAACTTCAAAAATTTTATCACATTTAACTTATGTTGTTTCTTATTTAAAAGGTGTTTATTTCAAATGTTAAAGGACAGTTATCAATTGTTAATCCTAATCAAATGATTTAAATACTTTAAATTATAAATAATAACAATTATTAGTTGTTAAATATTAATTATCAACTATTAATTATATCAAACAGTTAATCCAAACAATCCCTTAATTGATTTAATTTCTACATGAAGATTAATTGAATTTGGTTAAGTTTAGATTTTCACTAAATTGAAAGGGAAAGTCTAATGGGTCCACTATTAAAAAATTTTCCCTATATATAATTTGACCTAATATATAAAAAAATATGGTAGGTATTTGAATATGAAACCATACAAAAATTTTGGACTTCCTGTTTTGTGATTACATGACAGGGTAAAACCCCGATTTTTTATTTTTTATTTTTTGCCAAGGTATAACCCTGACTTCGAGACTTCACTTCTTGTCCTTAGGAAAAGTTAAATATCAAGGAAAAAGAATTAAACTAGTAAAAGAAGAAAACAATAAAATATGGATTGGAAAATTTCTGTTTGGATATGTTTCAATATATAACAAAATATTTTTTGTTTCATGTACAAAGTTTTGTAATTGGGAATTGAATTTTCCCTCTTGGCAATTCCTCTAAAACTTGGATGCCTTTTCCCAGGGATCCTTTTTGAGAACAAACTAATCTATTGAGATAATATGTTGAGGAGAGAAGCTCTTGCTTTGACCAGCCGCCTGAACAGAGACTCAAGACCATCCTCAAGGCCCTGGATGCTACTTTCCAAGGCCTCCAATCTTTTCTGTGCTGTTTGCATCTTCTCAACATTGGAACTGCGCCTGCAAAGCACAGCATCAACAGTTTCAAACTCATTTACGTTCTCTTGTTCACATGCTACCGTTCCCTTGTGCATCAATTTTGACACCAAGGACCATGTTGTTTGCTTTCCGGGAACTGGTGCAGCCAAGAATGAAAACAATGATTGGAAGATGGAAATATTCATTGAATTAAGTTCTCTAAGAACCCGAATCACGGCTAGGAAATGATGATCCTGGTCCAATACTGTTGAAGCTCCAATTTTATTGTCCATCTGCTTCAACGTCACAATCAATTTCTTGGCTTCCTTCTTCATCTTCTTCCTAAAGGAAGTGTAATTAACAATGCTTTTCTCAATGCTAGAATCTCCTTTTCTCCTCCTGAGAGCAGATTGCAGGGCATGAATTTGTTCCTTGACCTGGAACACGATGTCTCTAGCAATGCCACACACATCCAAAAGCCTAACAGATCCATCCAAAAATTCATCAACACATTTCTCCTGTTGATGCTTAGAGAGGACTTGTTGAGTGGATGCCATGTTAAGAAGATCATCCATGCAATGGTACAACTCCTCCAACCCGGATAAACCCAAACAGATCGACCCTGATGTAGATGCAGATGATCCCTCCCCTGTTTTGATCCTGTTCAGCTCCTCCTCAATTCTAAGGGTGCTAGGATGTGGCCTGGATGGCAAACTAATTGATCTAAGATTGCATTTGCTTGCCATTTTTGTTGCTCTTTCTTCTTTTCTCAAATAGCTAAATTTGAGATGCTTGATTTCAACATTGCATACCCTCTATTTATACAAAGCAGGGAAAACTATTTAATGCCAATGTGAAGAGCATGTGAAGTAAGTATGGGCATCACCATTGAATTAGCTTACTTGTCATATCAGAAGCCAGCATAACTCCAATAATATGATATTTTTTTAGGTCCTCTTAGGGGTTATGTAATGTGTATGAGGTGTCCTGTTCCTTTCTCATTTTCCACACTTCTATACGCTCATAAAGTACAAAGTCATCACCTGTTTTGCCTCACCTTGTGCCACATTATCCTTCCATTTTAATGTATAAAATTTCATCTGTCTCCATTGGAAGAGTCTTCCAACAGCAAAAGGCATCAAAATTGGAATTTTATAGAGATTGAGATCTAGATCTGTCAGAAAAACAAATTGCAAAGTGTGTAGTTTAGCAAGAGATTATGATTCCAAGGTCTTGATTATTGTGTAATTATAATGTGTGCACGAGTGGCTTGTATTAGTCCTGCCTGTCGCCATATTGCTTTTGATTGTTTAAGCATTTGTCTAGAAGGGTTGCGATATTTTCTCTCATTTTCCTTCATTTTCTAAGCAACCAAACGGCTCTCAATGGGCAAGGACACGTCTATTACTCTTATCTCAACACGTATGTCAATAATGAGAGCAGGAATGGCTGAGTCATGGTATGGCACGTGGATGCTTGGAACAGGTGGTGCTCTCTTACGAGTCTCATTTATGAAAGAAAGAAGACGAGGAAACTGAAAAATACAACCAACATTTCCTTCATCCTGAATTTTTGGAAAAAAAATAAATTGAAAGGAATTATGATAAAACTGTAAGCAATCATATATAGAGATTATGAAATAAGGAAAGGGTTTTTATTGCTGAAACTTTGGCCTTTTTAATATTTCTCATATTTCTTATGTAAAGAATTATATATTTTTTCAATTCAAAAAAAAAAAAAAATGGTAGTCCAAACTAAAATTGAAAAGAAAAAAACCTTTTTTTTTTAATAATTAGTGTGCTCGAACACATGGATATTTAAGATATTTTCTTCATTTTTAGTTTAAACTGATAAAAACTTTTTGTATTTCATATTATAGAAAAATGTATTAGTAGATGAATATATGGCATGTTTATCAAGTGCCACACGCAAAATGGAGAAAGGACAATGGATTTGGTATCCGGAAAATTAGTATAATGAATTACATTTACATTTTGTATGATCATCTATTTCTGATACAAAAATGTTTCTAGTTTGTGATGATGTTAAGTAAAGTGACCCTATTTTGGATTAGGCACTTGAAAACGCAATCTAAGCCAGTTTCAAGGTCTTCAATTCTAACATCAAGGTTCTCCAACATCCCTTGCACCATCTGCAATTCAACCTTGGGATCAATAGTCTTCAAGTGTCCAAGGAGGGAGCAAAGGACAAGATCTACACTTCCGACCTCATTAACCATGTCCTGTCCTTTCTCATATGACAATGACTTCATACGAATCAGCTTCGATATTAATGACAATGGACTAGTTCTCATCTTCCCACCTGGCATGGATAGGAAAACAAGAACAGATCGTAGTACAGAAATGGTGATGGAGCTTGCTTCTCTCAGTACTCTTGCCACATTGGACGCATCATGTTCTGATGCATCTAAAGTTGTAGTCAAACAACAACTGAATTTTCTTTCTAGTTTCTTGATTGTTCCAAGGCGAATGGAAATTTCTTTTCTCACCTTCTTCCTGATATTGAGATAAGCAGCAACTTCAGCTTCTATACTTGAATCTCTTCGCCTTCTACGTAGAGCAGATTGAAGGCTTTGCATTTGCCGCTGCATGGTAACCAGGGCATCCCTGGCAGCATCACACGAGTCTAGTAATACAACAGACTCATTTAGTGCCTCATCTACCAACTTCCCATTTTGGTATTGAAGGAGAGCTCGCTGGCTTTGGGAGGACTGCATGAAGTCCTGAAGGCTGTTGTACATCTCTGCAAGGCCAACCAAACCATGCTGAAGAGTCTCAGCAGAAGCAGAGGAAATTTGCCAGGACTTTAGGTGGTTTAAAGCGGCTTCGAGTTCAAGAGAAGTGGGATGAACCCTAGATGGCAAGCTAATAGACCTAAAAGGAGGCAATAGTGTAGAGGAAGAAGATGCCATTTTACTTGAAACAAAATTGCTAATTGGGGTTTTTTAGGAGTGATGTTTCAGAAAATGATTGAGCAGTGTATTTATAAGAACAAAATGCCTAAATCATTGGCGTTTGGTCTTGGTCTATTTCATTTCACATGTGATGTGGTGGCATTAGTGGTGTGGCCCAACCTAAGCCTAACCATCTAATTCTTTCTCTAATATCATATTGTTATAACATGGGCAATGGAGGTTTGCAGGGCAGAATTCTGGACAGTATACACCGAACATACACTTCTGTATGCTCCTTTGTCACCCCAACCATCACCAAAAGGAAAAAATCATTTTGATTCCCTGATTAATTAGAAGACAGAAACTGTGTTGGCAATTCATGTCTTTCTTCATAGAACCTAAGGTAAAAGGATGGACTAAACAAATTTTTAAGCACAAAAATCATTAGGACTTGAATCTAAGCAATGTTTGCTCCAATTGCTTGTTAGTGTTATTGTAACTTGTACGTTGGAGGACTGGGGAAATGGCGGTGGCAGCACAGATGATGTCCTTAGGGGACAACGAGGAGGCATTTTACAGAACACGATACCATTTTCTTTTGCCTTGGAAATTGTTGGAGATGACGACAACATAGTATTGAAAATTACTGTGAGGTGGCAGTTTGTTGGAAGAAGCATGGAACAACAACAGTAATATTGGCGCAAAAACTGACACCGGTATTGCATTAACCCTGAGTTTATTTACACAACTAAATTATTCTCTTTGTCTCCAGCAGTTTTCTGCATGTGACCAACTTATATGTTGTTTTTCATTTTGATAGCAAAGAAACATGATAATGAAATTCATGTTTTCTTACTACTGACTCCTGCAGCAACGATTTTCACAATTTCTTCCTGATATTTATGTGTGAAAATATTAAATTAAGATGATTTTTCACAATGACTCTTGTATCTTAAGAGGCTTTCCAAACACAGTCTTAAAAGAACAATTAAGAATAGTAGACAAATATAAGAAAAACATTAAAGAGGAAGATATGATTATCTCCTATCGTATAACTTAATATAGTATATATTAAGAAAATCGTAAGCAGAACACTTCTTCCTTGCAGCCATGTGACCAAGTTATAGTACTGGAGGAGCTACGAAAAGAAACTGAAATTGCCGAGAAGGCATAAGTCACGGCTATGCTCGTGAGGAATGAAAGCCTATGTGAGACCTTATCGGATTCATGGCCGCCGGATTGGCCAATTGAATCGTCTCAGGCATGAGACATAGTCGGTTCTTCAGATTCAGAGTTGCTTGTGGGTGCAAATTCTATGATTTGTCAGCGTACCCTCAATGATTGTTGCGGACCATAAAATAACATGTTTAATGGCATTCTTTGTCTGTATTTGCATTGCGTTTAGCTAGGTTTTGTTTGGTTAATTAGCGAGAATCATTAAGCATTTAGTTAATCTAGCTCTAATTTTAAATATTCGTCAATAACTGATGCACATGTAGGGGACAGCTTTATTAATTTGAAGAATATTTTAATTACCGAATCAAATAAAATTGTAAATTATAAAACTGAATGCACGAGAGGTTAGAGCAATAACATATAAAAAAAATTGAAGTGTAGTCCTCTTAGAATAGCCTGCATAACAAGATGGGCAAAACTTAAAAATAAATAAAAACTTCTATCAAATTTATAATTAAGGCTACGAACTTTAGAGTGTTCTGAAATAAAGACACAAAATTTGATTTAGTTAGAAATAAGGATAATTTGGTATTTTACTCAGAATGAAGAAAACTCCCTGAATTTGCAAGGTGAGATGCACAAGTTAAACCCATACTTCCCTTCAATCTATTTCTATAAACAATGCAATTTCATGACAAACTAGATTCAGTATGCATGTGTGGCAATGTATCCTTGTAACAAATTTGAGATGCAACCACTTCATTCTTTAATCTTGTGGTCGTAAGGTAGGCAACGTATAGATTTGATAAAATTTTTTGGCTTATGATCCTCAAATCGGAAACAACTAGTACTCACCATGCAGCACAGGATGCTACATTGCCTTCCACAATGATTTTGTATGGTACCTTCTGCTCAATCAGAATCCTAATCATGTTCCTTAAGATCTGTTTAGGAACAAGAAAGGCTGGCATTTCACTATTGTCTAATATCAAAATAGCCCTACAGGGTATCTTATAGTTAGAACAAGAAGCGATAAGATTACAAGATAAAGAAAAACGATAATTGGAGACATGATTTTGCAGAAATCAAGAACTCTAGTAGTTCATGAATCTAGGGCAACAATGAGGCTGCTAAAGGGGGACACAGTATAATTTTTCTGTAGTTTTTCTTCTATTTCTTGTAAGATAATGGAAGCCGGCACAAAATAAGATTGTTATGTTGGCAATAAGAGTAATAGAAAAGAGCCCAATACAGAGAATGCCATTCATCACAAATTTAACAATTTACAGATTTGTGTGTGTGTGTCTGTGTATTTTCTACATGAAATACTCTCCTGTCTCCCCGATAACCATTCAGTAGGCTAACAAATAAATCCTTGATCATACTGCTTGTCGGGTGATCATCAAACTTGAATCAATTTATAAAACTATCTACAGACTGATAATTGAAGGGTCACAAGATTATTTAGGTAGCAATCATCCATATCTGTCCTTGGAGTACCATATTACAACTGATCGTTTTCTACACTACACCATTATTCAATTCTTTTCTTCAATGATCAAAGCCACTGGATATGGAATTATTGACGCAAACAACTATTTCATTCGCACATGTTTTATAAGTCTAGTAGGTTTATTGCACATCACATGCATAATGCCTTTTCATTCATTTATTTGCGTATGCCTAATTCTAATTCATCCAACCAAGTAAACGATGATGTGAACTCCCTTTCAAAGTAAAGTGTTCATTGCACAAGAATCAGAAAAAAAGAAGAAATAACAGATAGCATCAATGACCAATAACATAATATCATAATGGGAATAGAGATGTCTAAAAGATACCTGGAAATAATACTAGTGACTGTTAAACAGACTATCATATGGTGTAAAAAAGGATTATGGTAAGAGCTTTGGATAATTGAGGACAGTTAAACAGACTGTTAAAACCTGTGGGCTTTTTACTAAGAATGAATTTACTAGCAGGATGAATTGAAATTGCAACAAAACAAAACCTGGGTAGTGCTTAGTACTTACGCATGGTCCAATGTCGATTCCATTAGGCATTAGAGAACCAAGATTTCTATCAGACATTTGATTCAGCTGCTAGTATTGTAAACAACAAAATAGTTTTGAGAAATTAAAAAAAAAAAATCCAATTACCAACCAGGGAGTATCAAATTGGAGAAGTAATTAATACTACTCAGGGCAATCACATATTTACATTTAGAAGTATACATCAGCTAAAATGTATCAACTTTATGAGCACATGGATACAGAAATAACCTTTAAACTCTGAGAATTGTGATCTGAGAAGGATCACTGGCCAATTTGCCATACAACAATTTGGAGTGGCATATAATGGCAGCACAATGTAATTAAACAGACAAAAAAATACCAGCTAGGAATCCAACAAGCACTAAGCACCAATTGAAAAGAATTAATGTAACAATGAAGAACGTACTAGTCAGAGAGCATGGCCCTGTTCCTTTGCTTTCTTCAGCCACTTAAGCGTACTCTCCAATGTTGTGTAAGCAGCAACATCTGTTAAGCTCTTACTCTCAATTGCATAGTCAAACACTTCATAAGCTTCTGCAACTCTACCTGCCCGACAAAGTGTCCTCACAAGAGTAGCATAAGAGGCTGTCTCTAGCTTTATACCAGCTGATTTCATCTCCCTGTACAAGTCAATTCCTTTCTCCAACAATCTACACTTGCACAGCCCATGAAGCAATGTGTTATAAGTGCATGAATTTGGACTGCAACTTTTTCTTTGCATCTCTTCCAACAATGCCAATGCACCCAATGCATTCCCTTCCCTACACATTCCATTCATCAATGATGTGTAGGTCACGGCATCGGGAAAGTGTCCCTTTTCCACCATGATATCTAAATACTTCCTAGCTTCTTTTACCCTACCAGCCTTTGATAACCCAAAAATCAAAGTATTATATGTCACAAGATCCGGTTCAACTCCCTCTTCTTTCATTTTGTTAAAAACTTCAATTGCTTCACTCCCTCTACTCAACATACAATACCCCTTCATAATTGTGTTATAAACGAAACAATCCGGCTTAAACCCACACTCATTCAGTACACCCAGCAACCTGGTAGCCTCACGTAAGTTCTTGGAATTACAAACATTATCAATCAATATAGTATATGTCACAAGATCAGGCTTTATACCAAAAGAATTCTTCATCTCCTCAATAAAACCATAAACAGTACTCAAAGTCCTACACTTGCATAAGCATTTAACAAGAAAATTGAAAGTAAAACTGTCGGGTGGGGAATGCTTCAAAGACATTTCCTTTACCAATTCTACAGCATCATCAAAACGCCCCACCTCACAAAGCGACCGGATGACAATATCTGTAGTAACCTGATTAGGTTTAAACCCATTAGAAACCATGAAATTTAGAGTTTGATGAACAGGGGATAAGGAAGAGTCCGGCGCCCTGCAGGATTGGGAGAGAAGGATGTGGTACGTCGATCGGTCCGGGGAAAATTCCGGGTTGGTTTTGACCATGTGCTGGAGCAGAGAGATGGAATCAGGAACGGTGGAGACTGAAGCATATGACTGGAGGAGAGCGTTGTGGAAGCGGAGATCAAGAGTAGCCTTCGTCGTGGCGGCGATGGAATTAAATATTTTCTTGGCGGAAGGTAGGTCCGGCGATTCGAGGAGGTTTTGGATTGCAGGGTGCTGTTTGGATTGCTGGGGCTTCCTGGAAAGTTTGTCGTCATTTTTCTTGGAGGATTTCTTGGGAAAGTGAAGAGGTGGGATTGGCGTTGGAGTTTGGATTGAGCTTGAGGCTTCTGTAAGTGGTGGCTTTTTGACGAGTGAATATGTGATCGCCGGCCGGAACGACGGTGGGATTTTTCCCATTTTCTTCCTTCTTTTCCGTCGACAATTAACTTTCACAGTCACGGAGGATTAGGGTTTTGCAGGGTTTTAATTATGAGAGTGGGAAATGGTACTTTTGGGCCACAACTAACCCATTTGATTTTCCGGTGGCCCAAATGTTAAGGGCTTTTCTCAATGATATATTAATCCAAAAATAGTAGTAGGAGTAATCCGAGGGTAAAGGACTAAAGGGTGCATGAATCATGAACCGGACTGTGGCTTCTTTGGGTCTCAACTAACCCAAACGACTTGGTAACGGCCCAATAGATTTGTATGAACCATTACAAGGCTATGGGAGATAAAGTTTATTTTGAAATAATTTCAACAATTTGTCAAAAATACACTTAGATCAAGCAACGAGTGTAACTAGCATTTCTCTTTGAATCAAAGATCCCACTAGATTGTTTGGCACCAAATGGTTTACTGGCCATCCCCATGGGACAGTACTTGAACGTCCAAGTTTTGGGTTCTAACTCAGGCAACTACCTTTTTTCCCAATTTCACCCAATATCAACAAAAAAAAAAAAAAAAAATCCCACCAGATTGTTTTCCATTCAATCTTCTTTTTTCTTCTTCTCTTCTTCTTCTTCTTCTTCTTTTTGATGTTTCTATCTTTTATTGAATTAATTATGTTATGGAAATATAAATAACCAAAAATAATGAAATGCTAATTTTTTTCATCATCAACTAGAATTGAAAAAAAAAAAAAAAGAAACATTTTTTCATCTCTTTATTCTCTCTTGCAATTTCTGCAGGAGCCAAGGCAAAGGGCCTCTGATTCAATCCAAGCTGACTCCATAACTTACGCCCAATATGTCACAGTACCCCTTGTAGAGACCAATCCTATCATCCACCCTGTTGTCGTGCCCGCGCGTGGCCGCACTCCAGCCCACCGTTGATTATGTTTGTGATGATACCGTAGCCCGGGACCCGATCGACCTGCTGATCTTTCTGCATCGGACGGTCTCCATTGTCCCATTATCACATTATGGCTTGATGGCTTGTTTGCCTGTGGAGTCACCAGAACCATACGGTTGGATCAGTAGCTACAAGGTCCGGATTGTTTATGAGATCCACCCCAATTGCTTTTCCTGCTTGGCCATAGTTGTAGTTGCTGTATACAAGGCAGAAAAAAAAAGGGGTTGGGGGGAGGGGGGTGTAAAGCAAAAGATATAACTAGAGATATACAGATTATTTTCTTGACTGATCACATCTTTATAGCCTGTAGTTTAGTTTAAGGGAAAATAGAAAGGAGATAAAAAAATTTTATCTAATCAAATTAAAATGTTGAGTTAAAATCTTAATTTGATTTAATAAAAAATTCTCTCTCCTCTCTTTTATGTCTCTTTCAAACTAAACAATTTATTGTGTTTTTACTTGAAAAAGTATAGTGACAAAGTTTTCTTCCTTTGTAGTATGGGTTGAGTATCTTTATATTTTCTTTTAATAAAAGTTAATTTATTGGTTAATTAAAGAAAAAAAAGAAAAGAAAAGAAAAAGACTTCAAAGGTTGACAATTTGATGTAGAAAACTCACCGAGTGAGTTGGACAGGTCCTCGGCCATATATAGTATTGTTTACCAGGAGGACATAGCATATTGGCCATTGATTCGATGTGCAATAGGCTCCTGGACTGTTCCTTTCTCTAATAAAGCAATATCCCCATGCATATGGGCCATCCTCCTACCATAATCAGAGAAAAAATAATAATAACATTTCATTTTAGATGGTACAAAAAAGTTTGAGAATTTATTGTCAGTGCCTTCGCCAAATTAGTACACCAACTTACCTGTTGTTTCATGAGAGGTTTGAGCCAAAAAAGCTGCGAGTTCTCTCTTACGGGTATTGATATCCCCTGTCGTGCATGCCAAATCCATCAAAGGATCGAGCAGCAGCAATGAAAGCATCGTACTTGTAGTAGCCATTGCTGGGGCACCTTCCATCGTTTCTATCCTTTAGCATCTGGTCAAAAAGAGCCGGAGTGATTATATATGCTGGTTACACCATTGCCACCACTAGGGGTTAGAGTTGGGGTTGAACCACCGCCACCACGCTACTGGCTCTGGTGGGTAGTCCCACAATAGTCAGCGATGGTGCCGCAGCACCCAAATTGGCTTACAGCAGAGCCCGTTGGGACACACAGCACCCCCTGCTTGCCTTCCACATTGCTCTGCTGATATTCCCAACACAAATGTTGCTAGAACACCGACAGTTAGCGCAGCCAAGAACTTCTTATTGTCCAGCGGTCTTAGCATGTGATTGCCTTTGAGGCGCAGGGCATATATATAGAACAAAATTAAAAAGTTGATGTGTGTTTTGTTTGAATGATCTGTTCAATAATTTAGGCTGTCAGACCACTGCATTGTGTGGACCGTTGAAAAGGACCATACCGCTTTGGAATATTGCACGGGGCACCTGATATTGCCTTGTAATTGTCTTGCTAACTGAAGTCATATTATTAGAAATTGTAGACGTGATAATGATATTGATTGAACTTAGTTCATTTGGCAATGGAATGGCCAAAAATAATACTGGGAAACTACATTTTTTATTTTTATGAGATGAAAGTTGATTGAGTGATTGGATTAACTATCATAATTATAAAAAAGCACTATATAATTTTTTGATTTTGTGATTATCTATGGGTGTGTGTATATATACAAGATATTTGTTTTAATATTTCAAAAATAACTATCAATTATTGATTTTAATCAAATAAATTAAATATTTTATACTATAAATAACAAAAATTATTAATCATCAAATGACAATTATTAACTCTCAACTATCAAATGCATTTAAACGGCTAATCCATGCACCCCTTATTTTGCATTCACTCACTCTTCTTACATTTCTTTGGGAGTTTTTTTATGCATCATGTATATACATTAATATTACACATAAAAATATATGCATTTGAGCAAAAACAAAAATTATATATATACACTAGTACTAAAATATATTTTTTTAATACATCAAATAATAAATTATATAATAAAAAATATTTTTTTCCTTCACTTAATCCTTTCCCACATATCTTGAAGTTTAACTTAAAATCTTGATATCTTTAATTTGAAGTCTAAACTCTTGATAAGTTGAGACGGTTGTTGAGGGCAGTACTAAGTTATATTGGTAATTATCACATTTTAACGCATTTCAACCCATTAGACGAAGGTACAATTCCATCAAGAAATGCAAAATTGAGAAGCTCTGAGATGTATGTACTATGTCAGCAAACAACATATATGTATAATCACCATTTTCATCCGAAAACACAGCAACACCACTTTCTTTTCTCGTTCTGTTTACCGTCATCCATGAATCTCCGCTTGCCCGCCGCATGCCCGGTGGATTTCCCAGACTTTTTTTCATTGCTAGCCTTGCTAAATATGACCGTAAACCCTTCAGACGTAGCTGGATCATTAACGTCCCAGTCTCCAAATCTAGGTAGGGGACGCTCGTTCTCTGCCGCTGCCATAGATTGCAAATTCACAATTGATCCTCAGATTAATGAATTCCAAGAAATTGAGATACAGAAGAATTATTCTGAAGTGATTTTAAAGGAAGGAAAGAAACAGAAAATTGAAGTTTTACGTTGCACCTACGCACTCGGTTTCAACTAATTATTACTACGGGGTAATCCGTTTTGATTTTGGAGTTTGGACACGACAGACGACCCTAACATGGATGCATCGGTATGAAGCCGTGTTATTCCTGCGGTCTCTGCGGAGATTCAGTGGAAACTCATCCTTTTCAGCCACCAATTATGGGGATTTGTTTGAATAGTAGTCGAAGCTTCTTACCTAATTTCTTACTCTGAATAACATTGTCCAAATTTAGCATGTTATCAACACATTCAATGCATTCATCTCATGGAAATCTTCTGCTAAACAAAGCCTTAATATCTAGCGGTCAATAATTCTAGGCACTTGTAATCTAAATGCTATTATTTATTTAATTAAAATTAAAATTAATAATTATTATTTAACAGATAAATCAAATCGAATCTAAACTATTTTTCAAACAAGATCTATTCCACATTTTTTTTGTTTGTTTGTTTGTTTATGAGTTAGGGCGTTTTCAACTTTATTTGTGCATGTTTCAATAGTAATTATTTTTTAATAAACAATTCACAATAAAATTAAAAAATTTATAAAAATATAATTTCATTCTTAACCTCTTCAAAAAAATTAAATTTTAAATAATAAAAAATATATAAATTTCCACCAACTCAGCATTCTAAGCCACAAGTACTTACATCGCAATGATGTTGCCATGACCCTATATATAAAACAAACTGAACTATCTTGACTTATTCAATTTATTTGTGAGAGATAGCACAAGCGGGGTATTGATTCATATTGTGACGAATAATGAATGGATATGATCAGATGGAACCAGAGTAGAAATGATTTTTATATGGATTCCGCTTGAAATCAAAGTTAATTCAGAGAAAGGGTAGTTGTGCAATGCAATTGGTTCGCCTTCCAAATCAGCTGCCAACACTACACCCGTTTTTTCCATGGCTGGCCCAACATGTTTCTCCATCAACGTCACTCCACAGCCTTCCTCATCATGTCATGAGTCAATAACTAATAAATGTGAACTCGCGAGATTGGGTGATTACAGCTATAATAAATTAATAAGAGTTTGTTTAATATTTGTTTTTATGGTATAGATTAAGATATAATAAATATATTTTATAATTAATTTATATAAAAATAAAAAATTAACTTTTCTGTTAGTATTGCTATCATATGAATAGTTTTAATTAATTAATTAATTAATTTTAAATTATTTTTTTTATTAATTTATATATATTAATTATAAAAATATATATTTATTACCATTTTTTTCTATGTGTAAAAAGGCATAGGATACCAAATTTCAATTAATAATTGCAGACGGGTTGTTAACTCGATCAAATCAGAATTATTGACCGTTGTGGCTTCTGGCACTTATTAGATATGGACCTCATATGGTCATATTTATGGATATCGTTGCGGACATTTATAGTTTTGGTCAAATTTATGGATATGGTTGCGAGGCACTTATAATATTGTTAAGATTATATAATATTAATTTTAGTTAAAAATATTTATTTTATTTTATTTTATTTTATTATTAAAAATAATTAATTATTAATAAAATAATTAGTATTAATTATTTAATAAT